CGCCCCTGCGTGGCTCCACGTTTAGACACACGACGATGGGTTAAAAGGTGAGGAAATCAGGCGGCACGAAATTTGCCGCTACAAAACAGCTAGTTAAAAATAATAACGTGAAACTAGGTACATTATTATGTAGGTACTAGAACTACTAGAGGTATATGTATATTGCACATAGGTACCCTGATTCTTCTATCCAATTCTTCTAGAGTAAGGTCCGTTTCCATTACGTAGTAATTCGCTTTAATGCCAAAAATTTTGCCGAAGAATCTGTGAAAGCATCAATTTGGCGCAACGACTGGTGATCCAGGTAGGTATTATAGAAATGTGTAGTTCTCTTTAAAGAACAGACTGCTAGGTATATAAAGGACTTAGAACACAATAAATACATTTCCTGAATCCCCAATAATCCTTAAATTCCTAATCCCCTAAAGGCCGGTAACGCACTTGTAACGCGTTTGGTGTTCCAGGTGCCCACGGGCGACGCCGATTGCTTACCATCAGGTGATCCGTCTGCTCGTTTACTGACTTATCTCTTAAAATATAGTGTCTAATTAATATTTGCGATCCGGCAGATCAGGGGTAATTAGGTCGTCGGAAGTAAATTTTATAAGGAAATAGAATTTTTTTTCGTCTTAGGTATTACTATTAATAGTGTGTATTACGTTTCTCACCTGATAGTGGATACAGGCTCTTTGATACCCAACATGATCATAGATATGTAGATCGCGTAACATTCGCTGGCTGGCAAACCGTACCCGGCCTACAATAAATTCAAATTCGTATTTTTGAACTGGAAAACGTAAAGCTTGGCAAAAAGAGTATGACGCGGTGACAGCTAAAACTAACAACTAATATTAACTCGTCGAGTACCGGTTTTGCAGACACAATTATAGAACAATAGGTTGCGGTCACCGGTGACCGCTTGGTGTTTGACAGTTTAACTTGGACATGAATAAACAATCATCCGAACTTATGTACCTCCTCTGTATAAACTAGATAAAAATAACAATTCATATCAAACCCGGTTGAGTCGTGGTGTACTATCAGGTTACCACCAACAAGTACGGTACTAGCGACCTCAATTATCCCAAACTCCTTTTTGCCAAGTTACATCTAGGAAGAAGCGTAAAGAGAAGAATACAACCTGTCTAAAATAGTAGTTATGATCAACAAGGTCCTGTATCTTCGGCTTGTAGTGGTCTTCCTCCAGATCGAGCTCCTGTTCCTCTTCTCCTCCGTCATCTAACTTTGTTGCTTTGCTTGCTACCAACTGTTAATAAACTCAAACAAGTAGTACAGAGCTTTATATTATAGGGTAGGATTACTAGGTAATATAATAACGATCGGAATTATGATCTACTGACGAGCAGTGGCATAACTACAGGGTGGAAGGTTTTCCGCTGGTGCCAGGGGCCCCAAGCTCGACGGGGTTCTGTTCAAAGGTTCTCATCTGAACTTCTTTCTTTATATAGGGAGGAGAGTGTCCATTTGATGAAGTTTTGCCACGGCCTTCGAACGGTATTGTTATGTCACTGCTGTTAAGTAAGTGAAAAGTAGGTTCGTCAGTAAACGACTGGTTACTGAGCTCCCTAATGAGCTATTAACGATTCTTAAAATGGAAAATTCCGCTACTGACTCCTCAATGATTATCAACTTTTATCTTACCCGGAACATTTCATCCACCTGCGTCACGGACGCGAGTTGTGGAGGAGACAAGTAAATGTCATTGAGCAAATCAAAGTTTGGCCGAAACTTCTCTTGCTTCACTTCCCAGGAATACTGTTCGAAGTTATCCACCACATCTGGTGGACTTTGGGACAGTATTTTTTGTACCACGTCCACTAAATGGTCGTATCTGGAAGGCAAGTGCTTGCTTTCTAAAAATTTATATCATTTGTATGCTGTTTAAATGAAACTGCCACGAAATCAGCAACTATACGTAGTACATACATAATAGTACTTACTACACAAAACTATATAATTTGGGAGTCAGTCTAATCAAGAGGAAATCAAATCCAATAAATGGAATTTAGTCTCTCGCTAGCCATTTATAATAAAGTTTATCTGGTGATCCTACTATCGCCTACTCTCAAGCCTAAAAACAGCTAAAACTCACAAAGAGTCACCAGTGGCTGCACTTTGTTGTTTCAAAAAATTCTTTGCCAGCACCAGATCATTATTGAGATCTGGCATAACATTTTCCGTTGCTGCTATTATATCCGGCTCTAATAAAAATGTTTGCGACATCTTTAGGCCTTGTTTTCATGTAAATTATTGATATTATAAGTATTACGAAATTATACAAAATAATAATGTCAGTGATGACTTGTTATTTGACGCCTTTTTTGGTTGGCGCTAGATTTGTCGATAAAATAAAAAGTAAATGATTGTAGCCATAGCTTTCTAACGGCCAGTAAAATAAAGAAATTCCTCATCATATCCGTAAGAAATTCAAGTGAAAATGTGAAAGTGTTGCTGTTTTTGGGGCTATCACTTTTAAAGATATTGTAGATATTTAACGCAAGTATGACGGTATGGACGGTACCTATGCATTACGAAATTTGATTTATTTTATAGAAGAACTTTTATTTATACCGGTCTTTGTTTTTAAGGGGGGAAAATCATCGAATGACTTCTCCCGCCTGGGTGAGGCGGGAAGGAGTGTCAGACTCTTATTAACTAAAAACCACCCCGTTCCCACTCCTGCAGGCTGCACTTCGAGCCGGAGCCCCGGTAACCCGTTAGGTTCTCCGCTGCTTAGTATCGGCATCAGCCTTATTGGGCCCTATCCCTGGTAGTCTGATGGCTCTTTAAGGCGAGCGCGCGTGCGGAATGCGACGCGCCATACGCTCGTCCGGTGAGGACCAATTGTTCAGCAGTGGACATCCTATGGCTGATATGATGATGATGATGATTACTAAATCGAATCTATTTCAATTTCTGATCGCAATTTTAAACGTCTATCCGTCTAACACAAATGTCACTGCCAGTACTGTCACAGACAACGATGATTATTTTTGGCAAAAATGTCAAACGAAATTGTACTTTTCCACTCGAAAATACGCGAATAGTTTAAAATAAACTTATTTTTGTGATTTATCGAACAAAGAATACTGGATGAATTCGTTTCAATTACATACTATTTATATATAAACCTATTCAGTTTTGTTAAAATTTCGTACTTTCGTACAATCCAAAACATAACCTCAAAATCTCTGAAACGAAAATAAACAAACTTCGAAATGGCTACAAAATTCGATGTAGCTGCGTATAATTTCCGGAAGAAATGTCCGTTTGTAGCCAAGGATCTTCTCCGCTGGTTTCCCGGTCACATGAACAAAGGTTTGAAGCAAATGCAACGTAAATTGAAGAGCGTTGACTGTGTAATCGAAGTCCATGACGCAAGAATTCCATTTACGGGTCGCAATCCTATATTTACCAACACGTTAATAGGAGCTAAACCTCACATACTAGTACTAAATAAGAAAGATTTAACAGTTCCTTCGTTAATACCGAAGATAGTGGATAAATTAAAGGCTGAACAGAATGTGCAGAATATAATGTTTACGAATAGTAAGGACCAGCATTGCAAAGGATTGAAGAAATTAAAACCTCTGATGGTTGACTTGATAAAGTCGTCAAACAGGTATAATAGGAGTGAGGAATTAGACTACAATGTGATGATCATGGGAGTGCCAAATGTGGGGAAGTCTTCTTTGATAAACATGCTGAGATCAAAGAACATGAGCATCAGACATGCTCTGCCTGTGGGCGCTGTGGCGGGCGTCACAAGGAGTGTCATGACTAAGATCAGAATAAACAATGATCCTGTTATATTCATGTTGGATACTCCAGGTGAGGATTTTGAAGTTTTAATGAACTGGTCGACTATTTTTCTAAATTATTTTATTAAACTGTCAAACACCAAGCGGTCACCGGTGACCGCAACCTATTGTTCTATAATTGTGTCTACAAAACCGGTACTCGACGAGTTAATTATTTAAGTTGCTTAAGATGTCTATGCTCACATTCATTTATTGAACAGTCTATTAGGAATTGATATTAAAAGATAGCTACTAGTTTATTGGGAAATGACACTTAAATGAGAGCTACATTCTGCTATTCAAACTGTCAAACACCAAGCGGTCACCGGTGACCGCAACCTATTGTTCTATAATTGTGTCTATAATGACGGTACTCGACGAGTTAATTTGTGAGCTAGATCTAGTCCATAATCATATCACCCATACATCCTCAAGCGGTCACCAGTGACCACTCTCCACTAACTACATTATAGACCTTATTTTCAATGTTTAGAGACTACTTTTGTATGAACAAATTTAGGGGATGATTTTCAACAATTTCCAACGGATTAAAGATATCCAATAGTGATCCATAATGCATGCTTTTCTTGCATCTAACATCATTTAAATTAACTATAAACAACACATATAAACCAAGTCCAATTAACAAATGAACTTTTTAATAGGTATCCTAGAACCATCAGTAACAGACGTAGAAATGGGGTTGAAGCTGGCTCTCTGTGCCTCTCTGCAAGATCACCTGGTAGGTGAGGAAATCATTGCCGATTACCTGCTATACTGGCTGAACAGCCACGGACAGTTCCAGTATGTGGACTATATGGGTCTGGAGGAGCCTTCTGATGACATTAATAAGGTCAGTTTTTAGGTACATGTTGTTTAAATTAAGGTGTTTTTTGATCTTGTAATTAAAATTCCATGGTCTATGCATAAAAATATGCATTTAAGTTTATTATAAGTTAAGTACCTATTTATTAAGTTTTATAAAGAAAGTACGAAAAATAAACTTTATTACTACTTAGGATATGAGACTCGATTTCAAAACTGTTTTTTATTTGTGCTGTTTTTTACTGGCCTCACTGACTTATTTATAGTGTCATAATACTTATGAAAATTAATTTCTTCTCATTCCAGGTGTTGATCTCAGGTGCAATAAAATATAATAGAATCCGTAGGACACGGGACTTTGACGGTCGAGTCCGAGATGTGCCAGACCTGCTAGAAGTTTCACGGACTATGATCAAAGCATTCCGCACAGGGGAGCTTGGCAAGATCCTGCTAGACATAGACCTACTTAACGAAAGACATGTTGGACTAGATAGAACATTAGCGTGACCTAAATGTTCAAGGTAGACAATGCTAGAAGTCATTGTTTTTATTGTATATGATGCGTTACGCTGCGGACTCGAGACGCGATTTTCACCCGCACCCTCCGCGGTGGCAGAATGGAGATTTATTTTTAAAACTCACTAGACCTCAGTTTTCTATTCGGAGTCGCGGAGAACTTAACGGGTAACCGGGGCTCCGGCTCGACGTGTAGGAGAAGGAACGGGGTGGTTTTTAGTCAGTAAGAGTCTGATACTCTCTCGCCTCACCTGGTAGGAATAAGCAACCATATAGTCAAATCCTTATTTTTAACTTGGGTGTTTTCGCCGAAAATGTGCATCTACTTTACAGTGGTAATGACTTCTAAAAATTATATAATTTACCGCTATGTCAATTCAATTGCTATTTCAATGAACTATGTAAATAATTGTATAGTTAGTTATAGTGCATAGGTTGTAAGATAGATAGTATCAAATATAATAATTCTTGAAATTGATTCGGTTTTTTTTGCTAATATATTTTGTTAATTCTTAGCATAAAGAATGTAATTCCACCTGAATTTAATAACAGATTTCATATTATTATCTACCTACACTTTTAATAGTAGGACTCTTGTTATTACATGCTAGGGTAAAGTTCCCTTTCAATCCCTTTGGGTAGTAACAAACTTGATAGTTTTGTCTACATATTATACAATACAACAGTCCAAATCTGTAAATGAACATGACCTATGGACCCTAACATTCGACCTCCATCCATAAAACTGCTTGATTTTAAATTCAAAGAGTTGACGTCACTGTCAAATTGACACAGATAATAAAAATTCTGATAAAAATATGAAGTAAAAATTAAACTGGGACAATTTTAACAATATTTAATAAAAAATTAATAAATCAAAATATCTTCAATAATTGTCATAAAATTGTACTTGGAAGTATTGAGAATAATGAAAAGTTTGTATAATTCGTGGGCAGGGTGAGCAAGTCTCATCCACATAAATATGGACCCCTTGGAGTACATAGAAACCTTCATGAGTTCTATACAGGAGTACAGATGGCTCATAGACGTGGCCAACGACTGCTACCCGATCGCTATAATGTCTAAAATACATACAGCTTGAAGACAATGATATCCGAAAAAGATAGTCAAAGAATTAGAAAAAATACTGCCTCCAATGAGAGCAAAGGCAGGTTCTCGAGAACATCGCAATACGTGTTGGAGAAGAGATCTGACAGTGTAGTTTACAGTAAACTGTCTTCAAATACGTGTTCGTCGACTGTGGAAGCGACCAGGTCCGACATTGATGGTGCAACCAGCAACACGCTGAGCATGGTAAGCACGCCCTGGACTACTGAGAGTTCATATTCAGATCTGTTTATATCAGGATCTACGAAGTTGTCAAAGTCTTCACGTGTATCATGGACTAACGAGTTCACTTCCAGCTTCATCGCAAAAACTAGCACGACCATCGCGAGCGACTGGCGGACGGCCACTGAGGGATCCTTCAGTAAGACTACCCTCCCTGTCCCTATGTATAGTTTTGCACCGGCACGGCAAGGCCGCCGGTGGAAGGTGTCTCCAGAGAGCTCGTGTAGCACAGACAGCTCCTGGACGCTGAAGACGTTAAGCAGTATGAGTCAGTATTCTTCACTGTACAACCAGCCATTCATCAGGGTGAAGTACCCGTGGAGTCCCGACACGCTGTGCAGCGACCCGGATGACTACCCAAGCAGCCTGGATACCCTCGCCTCTAGGAAGGGAAGCCGCGTCGACATGACGACATCCATCACAGAAGAAATATTCTACCCAATGAACTACACCAACTTGACGCATAATTTCGACGAATGCCAAGTTATAGACTGGACACGAACGAAAGAAAACGGGTTCCCGATGTACTCCACAGCCAATTTAATAGACACCAGGGTTTAAAAAAATTGCAAAAACGATTAAAAAATTTATTACCAACAAAATATTTGTTTTACATTAGTATCCTTAAAATGAGGTATTTGTTGCATTTATTGTTTATAACAATATCTAATGCAGCACAATATCTGTATTCTACTCTGATCACATCAACACTGTAATGGACCCGAACAATTTAAATGCAAATATAATGATAAGAAATTATACTTTAAATTAATGTTTTGTACCGGACAATAAACTCATGGAAATGGAACTAGCATTCTTCAAAATGTGTTAATGTAATTATGCTAAATGTCTGAAATCTCTGTTATTGATTTGAATGGAACATACATAACATTTGAATGTATGCTATGAATGCACCAATTTCGGGAATCCATTTTACCTTATTATTTTATAGTATAAATAAACATATTAAACACGTGACACAGGGATCATGAATATACATTTTTCAAATGTCGTCATCCAACACATGTTAAGAAATTAATTAATGGAGACCTTTATCAGAGGTACAACAATGTATTGTTAACATTCTTGTAAAATCGTTCAAAAAGTAATTTGCATATTTTTAATTATTTCTTTTTTTAATTAATACTGGACTAAGAAGTCTAGGGAAGTTGATAAAATTCTCAGTGATAGTTCATAGAGCGATACTTTGTTTTAATTATTATAAATACATATCTTTGTTATCTATTAATTCGTGATATTACGAAATCCTTTTATCGCCATATAATGCTACTAAGCAAAAATTATGACATTCCAAAAGTGCTAATTCACGATTTTACATTTCTTTTTATATTTTTCGGTATTATATACCTACATAAATGACCTTGGGCCCATTCATTTGTACAAAACTTCATATGGATTATATTTTACACATAAATCAATGACGATGTCTTTTGTGCGTTCATAAGGGCACTAATGCAGCGTAAACACTTCCATAATTTTCAATAAATGACTGTGCAATGAATGACACAGTCAATGGATTTAACGCGACACCAGCGCCTCTAGCGGCGCAAAAATTGGAGTTGTAAATGGCACTAATACAGTTACCTTCTTAGTCCAGTCAGCTACTTAAACATATAAATAAAAGATATCTACTTATTAGCAATACCGATGATAGATTTGAAGTATTTGGGTTCAGATAGAGACTCTACGAGGAAGGTGCCCAGGTCTCTCTTTGAAATGGAGCGGCCAGGAGAACTTGTAGGGTTGATGGTCACCGTCACCTCGCGGCTCGGCTCATCTGCGAAAGACAGAAAATACCAATTGAAGTTGTATTTGTACTACTAATTAGACAAAGTCAAGCTAGATTTATGCCTAAAATTTTTTACACATATAGTTTTCTGCCAAATGTGGTTTTGAGGTTGATGACCGACGTTTTAACTATTCTCATATTGAGTTTACTTCAATACAAAATAGAAGTTGGCAAGACAATCGGTTTAGTAATTCCAAGACGAGTTTTTTTCTTACATGACTTCACTTCGTCTGCATCTCACAAGTTCGTATAAAGCATTTTTTTCGCACAAATCGATATTCTTAATACTTACTAAAACTTATCACCCTTTTACACAAATCAAACAACAATAGCTTTAAAAAAATATGTCATTAAGTTCAAAATTGACTAAAAGAGTCTTACCAGCGATATGAGGAGGGAACACTGCGATCCAGTTGAGAGGGCTATCCTTCACAGCTTCATACATCCTCTTATGATCCTCATTCAGGTCCACAAATCTTGGAGGGACCTTCTCAGGCTCGTAGAACAGGAAAGCGGACAGACAAACAGACAAAGGTTTGACGTTCTTAGCTCTCATGGACTCTATGATGTTCTTCGTGCCTTCAGACATGTCTGAGGTAGGTTCCAAGGAGTTTCTGGTGCCGAGGGCTACCACCACACCGTCCATGCCGTCGACGGCATCAGCCACGGAGTCTGGCTCCAGGACATTGCCAACGAAGAGCTCTACTTTGTCCTTCAGCTCGGCTGGCATCCTCGCTTCGTCTCTGACGAAAGCGCGGACTTGGTAGCCTGCAGAAGAAAGTAGTTATTAAGTATCGGTGATTGCAATTGCAACTATAAACAGAACATGACGTCCTTTCATGAAAATTTGTTCTGTAGGTAAAGTCAAAGCATTTATTTCAATTCACTCTTGGAGTACCATCATTATAGACACAATAAAGAACAATAGGTTGCGGTCACCAGTGTCCTCGCGGTGTTTGACAGTTTAAACCATAATTTGGTACTGTTGAAACGTCAACAAAAAGTAATGATAGGTAAAGGTAATTTTCATTTTCTAAATAAGAAAAAAAAAACATTTCCATCTAAGACACTTATAAAATAAATAATATGTATGTATGTGTAACATAGGTAGGTATAGGTACATAATGTTATTATTGGAAAGAACGATTGACCACTGTTTCCTGATATTAATTTATGCTTATTCATCGTAACCTAGCATAAATACACAAGTATTAATTTGTATGAATAGCCCACTATAGGTAGACAGATAATAAAATATGCATAATAATGTAACTACAATGTAATAATCGAATCAAAATCGACGATTCATGACATTATGGCGTTTTAGCCTTGATCTGTATTTATCTAAATGATACTAAGAGGTTCTACTTAGTATTAGATAAGTAAGTCCTAGAAGGTCCGCCAACTCTAACTTGATAGTTTTTTTTCATTGAATTTTCGACTATAGTTCAAAACTATAAGACTGAATATCTAATAGGACGAATAGGAGTACATTGATTTGCTAGCGTGTTTACTAGCTATACAAAGTTACACATTGCAAGTGTTATTTTCCTCGGTTTCCTCGTTTATAGATCTATATGTTAAATTTTTTTATTTCGATAAAATTGGAAAGCCAACTACATTTTTCATTAGTAATGAGTCCGGCGTTTGGCCACTATCTCCATGTCGTAAGCGATGATGTAGTCTACGATAGGGCACGCCTGCCCAGTGCTATCAGTAACTTATCCACTCGAGCTGTGAGGACTTTCGGTTCCTTTGAAGAAGAATCGAATAAGAAACTCCTTAATTTCCCTAAAGTTTCTAAAAGTTTAGAATTTAGAACCTGTGACGTTATCTCTTACGGGCTTTTCTATATCGGTCACTGAACCTACAAGGCAGCATGACTTACAAATTGCCTACTTTATTGAGCAAACGATTGAGCCGGTACCCCTAACCGGATGCTGCGTTGTATTTCCTGTTTGATACCCTGCGTATACGCACGTGCGCAATGGTTGAACGTCAAAGTGTTTATTTCAATATTTATTATTTTGACTAGGTATTTCAGAAGCGCTGCGGAAGAATGTGACTCCCGCACCCTCGTACCCACGTGTGAGACGGGACACTGGGGTGGGTTTTAGTCAGGAAAAGTCTGACAGTCCCTTTCGTCCTCCCCAGGCGAGGGAGCTCCATGAGGATTTCCCACCTTGGGGTTAAAAGAAAGGTATTTCAGAAGTAGCAGTGTAGTTATCTACACACTGGTGATAAATGGTTACGATGGTACAGGCCGTACAGGTATACTACAACCAGCCACCATTTACCCACCACAAAGACGGCCAGCAGCATTTCCTAAACTTTCAGTGACCTTACAGTAATTGTCTCCACACCGCCTGACAAAAATTGAGAATCTTTGGAGGGTCCTTTGGGATATTTTTGTAAAATAGTGAACGGTTTGCTACCGATGATGAGGATTATACCTCTAAATCCACGAAAAAATTACTGTATGAAGAATTGATCATCCAAAAGTAGTCTGTAAACATCGGAAATAAGGTCTAAAATGGAGTCACTGGGCTGAGGTCACCGGGGTCCGCTCGAGAACTTATTTTGAAAATTATTTTTTCTTAACTTTTATCGAATTCTTTGTTGACTGCACCTGTATGTCACATCTTCGAGGATTACGGATATGTGTGACGTCAGTTCATTGCAATAGGTACTAGCTTTGCAAAGTCGGCCATAATGCATGCGAACCAGAGATTATTGCGTGCGAGTGTGAGTTCTTCTTTAAGATAATAAAGGTGAGCCTGAGCCACAGCACAGTTTTATCTCTTAGATATCGATATGATATATTTTATCGAATTTATCAGTATGATACCTCAGTTCAAGATAACTAATCCAATATGTCAGGTTAAACTCTTTTCAAATATGGATACTTTCATAGTATATTGTCACAACCTTTATCCAAAGCAGCTATCTTTTTATATAAAATAGTAAATAAGAGTAGTGTTAAAGTAAATTTTTTTGTTAAATCTGTTTAGGGAACAATGAGTCTGGCATGGTCTTTATGTGATCAAAAGACTAAATTATTATAGATAAATAATGATACAAAACTGCGATAAAGATAGAAGAGTACCTAATCGTGAGTGGGTACAGATGTCCTTATCGATTTTTAACCTTGGAACTTGGTCATAAAGTTAAAAGTTTATTAAATAAAGAAAATTGACCATTTTAAGGACCTATTGCTATATTTATCTGTAGTAGGTACTATACACACTCATTTTTCAGTAAATTAGACTTTGATGATGTCTGACTGCCTCTTAGGCAGAGTGGTTGCAAGTGCGACTGCCGGGCAAGGAGTCTCGGGGGTCGGTTCCCGGGTCTGGCAACGTATTACAGGGTTTTAAAAACAATCTCAGTAGTAGCACGGAGTTTGGAAATATGCCCGGTATATGGGAATAGGCTTATTACATGGGAATCATAACATAAATAGTGATAAGTGGGTTTTACATTGTACAGTGGCATTAGCCCGTCGTGTGTCTAAACGTGGATCCACGCGAGACACCATGTATTTTCTAGTGTACATAC